CAGGCTTTTCTTAGACTTTATGTCATACAATACTTAACTTGTTTGGAGTGGGTGGAGATGGAAACACAGTCTATTGAAAACATCACTGCTTCCTCTCTGAAATTTAAAGAGCCTATTACCATCCTTCTTTTAGATTCTTTCTCTCAGGGAAAAATCTCATAAAGATAGGCAGGGAGAAAAGAAGGGCTTATAATATCCACAGGGTTAGCTTTTGCTAACTGAATACTGCACTACTAGACCCCTGTCAATAACTGTACAATTGTGGCCCAGCTCACACTTGTGGTAAGGGAGGACATCCACTCTCCTAGTCTAGAGTCTTGCCTTACCCTCTAAACAGCATCTACCACCATGTGGGATCACGGGCAGCTCATGACATTATCAACTGTTGTTATTGGAAAGACATTTGGACCTTGAGGCACCAGATATTGTTCTACCTCTTGGAGAGGCAGTATGGCAGAATGGCTAACTGACAAACTCCAGGATCAGAAGGAACTGGTACAAATCCCAACCACAGTCACATCTTCACCGTAAGAAATTAGGCAAGTTGTTTAGCTTTTCTAAGCTTCCGATTCCTTAAAGGTAAAATGGGCAACACACTAGTATCCATCCCCCAGAGAACTATGAGAAACAAATAAGAAACAATGTGCAATTAACATACGTAATACAGTGCCCAGCACATAATAAATGTCCAAGTGATGGAATTGTTATTTTATCAAAATAATAAATTGTTTTATTGTTAGTCCTAGGTCTATCAATTTGTTCCTACGTGGCCTCAAGCAAGTCACTAAATCTTAGCGAGCTGCAGATTATAAATGAGACATGCAAGTAACATCACCTCACTTGAAATTACTGTGTAAACTGTAAAGTGTCTGCAACTGTCAATCAAGATTATTATTATTGCCATTGTTATTAGCACTCAGTGATCTTTTTAGTCAAAAAGTTTGTGGATAGCTTTCCTTTGGAAATCTAGGAGCTAGGACAAGAGGCAAGAGATAATGTGAGAATGTGGATAACCCTTTCAGGGCATTTTCCAGCTTCCCAAATATCTGTATAGACTGCACTGGTGGTCTAGTGGTTAAGATTCAGTGCTCTCACCACCATGGCCTGGGGTTCGTTTCTGGACAGACCACCCACCTGTCACTTGTCATATTGTGGTGGCTGCATGTTGCTGTGATGCTGAAAACTAGGCCACCAGTATTTCAAATACCAGCAGGGTCACTCATGGTGGATGGGTTTCAGACTAAGACAGACTAGGAAGGAGGACATAGCCACCCACTTCTGAAAAAATTGGCCATGAAAACCCCATGAGTAGCAGCAAAGTATGTCCGATATAGCGCCAGAAGGTGAGAGGACAGAGCAAAAATACCTGGCAGGGTTCCGCTCTGCTGGACACAGGGTCACTAAGAGTTGGAATCAACTTGATGGTATTAACAACAACAGTAAATGTCTTTGTATGGTACACAATGTGTAATAATGTATATCACAAATTAAACCCTTCTCAAACCTATTCCCTGATGAGTTGGTTGACCCTTCCTTCAGAGGGAAAAATTTCCTCACCAGCCCCAGTGAGCCAGGGGAGAACCAACATTTTTTTTTAAATAATCTTACCTTCCCTGGTGTCAATAGGAAACAGTATTTACTCACTACTGTTTTCCTTTCAAAAATCCAACTAGTTGCATACTAGAAACAGTTTCAGCTGGTTTGTTTGTCTTGGATGAGCTGTTGAAGTGAAAAGTTTCTGCTTGGCTGAATGTGGGACAGTTTCATAAGCTTCGAGAAGTGCATTGAAGGTGAGTGCCAGCTCCGACAACTGCTTCTGACATGCCTCCACTTGCTGCCCATTGTCAAGGGTGGCCAGCGTAATTAAATTAAGACAATGAGCAAAGCAACAGATGCAACTGAGACCAAATCCCTGAGTGCTTTTGTTTTGTCACTGTCGTTGTCTGCAACAAAGAAGTCACATGTGCGAGCCTGGGAAGAGAGCCAAATGCAAACCAGACGACATCCCAGCTGGTTTTGAATGGCCTCCACGGTAAGCGTGTGCTCATGGGAACCATGCTACTTGGAGCAGTGTCGGCTTTACTCAAGTGAGTTTCTGCCCATGGCTTTGCTGCAATGCCGAGACAGACCCAGAAGAAATAGGCCAGAGGACCTCCTCTGCTCAGACTTCTCACTTTACTCTTCTGCTCTGAGAGAAAAGAAAAAGAATCTCTCTGTTGGGCACAAAGGATAAGATCTATATGATTGGCCCTTCTAACCTCAGTCCTTTTTGCTACATGAATTTGAAGAGTAAAGCATAGAATATACCTGAATTTTTTCTTCTGGAAATCTGGGATTAATATGGTTTGAGAGGAAGACTGGAGATTAAATCCTCCAAGTGACTTTCTTTTAATTTGTTACCATTTCATTCTTGAGCATTTTCCAAGTTTGGGCATTATCCAGATTCTTAAAAATCTTTTTCTAAGCTGATAGGCCTCAAACAGAAAACAAGGTAAAACTCAAATTAGCATATTTTTACACCTGTTATTAATTTGGTTAGTAGTTTGGTAGAGAGGTGGTATCCTTAATAATAGCTATTTTGGGGTTTTGATGAGCCACATGCCATCAGCAGGGTCTACTGAGAAGTGAACAGAAATGTTTCAAGGAGCATTTGAGACAATAGTGATCCTACTCTGTAGCCTCATATGTCTTTCTTCCCTTTTTCTGGAGAACTCCTTTAAGAAAGCAGAATGGATGGACCTTGAGGATATTATGCCAAGCGAAATAAAGTCAGACAGAAAGATAAAAACCATATGATTTCGCTCATATGTGGAAGATAAACAAACAAACAAACACATAGATAGAGAGAACAGATTGGTGGTTACCAGAGGGGAAGTGGGTGGAGGGAGGGTGAAAGGAGTAAAGGGACACATGTGTATGGAGACAGATGGAAGCTAGACTTCTTGTGGTGAACACAATGCAGTCTATACAGAAGCCGAAATATAATGATATACACCTGAAATTTACACAATGTTATAAACCAATGTGACCTCAATAAAATAATAAAATTTTTTTAAAAAAGCAGAATAAAATGTAATATTAGGAATACAAATTTACTGGTAGCTTAATAGTAGATGCCTTTACAGCAATAAATGCACGTTAAGTGGACTTGGTAAAAGTTGTATGATATATGGGGAAAAAAGGGCCAGGATTTTAAACAGAGGGCATTTCAAGCTCTCCTATACAAATGCCCAGTTTCTTCCCACAAGCTTTTTTTCAGTGGCCATGGAGCTAGATATTTCAATAAACATTTTTATACAATGATGCCATCTTCCTTCTATTCAATCAGTACAGGATATTGACCATCAATTTACAAAGTCCTAACTAGCTTTTATGAAGAACGTGGTGACAAACTCTAATGTTCCAGGTAGAGCTGAAAAACATGTGTAAGAAAAATTACCAAATCCTTATTGGCCTTACCCAATGGCTATTATTTCCAGGGATTGGTAGATGATTCTGCCCTAGCTTCTCACTCTCTCCAGAGGTCAGGTCTGAGTGATCTCCAAGGTCCCTTACAATGATCTCTAAGCTCTTAACAATGATTGGGTGAATGGTCATTATCTTTGTCAGAAGAAAGAATTCAGAGATTCTAGCCACCACGGTGACAACTCTTGTTTTTGGTGTTGATGGAAACATGTTCTGGGGAAAAGGGACACTGTGGATCATTGAACCTCATTCTGTACCAATAATTATCCATTACAACCTCCTATAAGGGCCTCCTGGCTGGAGGTGAAACCATGAGAAGCAGCAGCTTATGTTTATACATGCAAACGCCACTTCCTCCTGGATTTTATTTCACATCTTCTTGTTTGTCTAAATAAACTTTGCTATTTAAACATATTCAAGGATAGAATAATAACTCTAGGAAAAGTATAATGACTGGATTCTGCACATCATCAGAGGGTCTATTATACTCATTCATTCATTCATTCATTCATTCAATTCATTCTACAGCTATTTGTTGAGCACCTGCAATACCCTGGGCACTGTTCTAGACATGAGCTATACCACTGAACAGACAGACAAGTCTCTGCTGTCTTAGGGCTTCTATTCCAAGCAAAACTCAATATTCTTTGGAACACAGCATTGCTTGTTGATGAGTTAATGGTAGCACCAAAGCAAGGAACTCAGGATTTTTAGTATACAGATGGTTACTTTCCAATAAAGATGAAATAAGAAGAAGAAGAGGAGGAAGAGTGAGTAAATAATAATGACAATAGCTAATACTATGTAGTGCTTACCATGTGCCAGAACTATTATAAGTGCTTTTATGTACTAATTCTTTCATCCTTAATCCTACAAGGTAGACACTATTATTATCCTGGTTAATGGATGAAATTGAGACACAAGAGATTGTTGCTTGCACAAGTTCACATCACTAGAAAATAGAAGAGCTAGAATTTGAGCCCAGCTCAGAATGTCTGTGATTTTCTAGATTATAAATCAATTACAAAACTTCCCAATCTTCTACTTCTAAAACTCTGCCTCTCTCCAAAGGAGAAAAAGAAAAAAAAATTAAAAAGTAAATATCTCCTTTATACAAAAATTAAAACAGAACAAAATGCAATAAAACAACAGAGGATGATCCCAGAATGTGATTGTTTTTTCTCACTAGGAAAAGATACTACAGGCCAGAAGACTGGATTTTTCAATGTCTCCTTCCTGTCAACCAATCTGCGATAGGGGCAGACGAATAGAAACTCATTTTTGTGTGGTTATAAAGCAATCTGTGGTCCCTGTGCCACATAGAAGTAGCCTGAGTGAGGTTTGGCTAAACTAAAAACCAAAGTGGTCATGATCCACTTATATATGTCTTTCTCAGAAAAACCAGCCCCAAGCTCTCTAGTAGATTGACTGGTGAGACATTAGATGAAAAAGGTTGAAGACCAATGTTAGAAATAGATGGGTAGGGTACCTAAAACTTCATCAAGTTAATGTCACTTTTTCTCCCTTATTTTTAGGAAGTACATTTGAAGAACGCAAGTAGGGGAAGTGCAGGAAACAAGAACTACAGAATGTAGGAAGACTTTCCTCAAGAGTGAAGAATGACATGCCGCTGGCAGGATCCTTTGCTCTGCACGAGTTACCTGTTAAACACCAGAAGACCTACCAAAAAAATAAGTTTGATAACATTTCAAAAGATGGGCATTCCCCCCAATGAAATACGCAAGTAAACATTCCAACATTGTCTTTAGGAGTGATTGTTAAAAGCTTTGCACCTTGCAAAAATGGTCCTGGAGTTGGTAGATTGCTGTTGATCCTCTATCGGTAATGTTCTATAGAGAAAATATATATATATCTATATATATATCTTAGTCCCTGCCTCTCAAGAGCCACACATGCATGGGTGTTGTATAGATCCAGTTGCACTAAATTTGTCTCTGAATCTTGGCTGCTGGAGCCATTCATTCAGCAGCCTTGTCTAAGTGGTTTATTAATTTTTTTATTTGCACTTCTTTCTACACAACACAGGCGGTTTGTTTTCCAGTGTCTGATAACCTGGTTTGTCTATCCTCGCCCCCCCTTCATCATCTTTATATTTGCCGAATTTGGCCTCCTCAATAGCAGCAGCAAGCAGACAAGTAGCACACCAATTTTTAACCCACAAGATTCCATCTGTGGCATTTGTACCAAATATAAGTTGGATGCATTTATTTTAGACACAAAGCTTTATATTTCCACATCTTGCTAAAAAAAAATGCAAGTAGTTGCAACTTCGAGGCCAATCATTTTTAGGCATATGTTTCAAGCATAGAAAGTCTCAAACTCTGAACGGTTCCTTCAAATGATGAGTTAGTGTGCAACCTGATTAGCAACTTTTCTCTTTTTATTTTTTCCATATAGAGCACTATGTAAATTCAGCATATCAATAATGCAGGATATATCAAATAGTATGTAAAACTCTGTTTTTTAGTACAATGGTGCTATTTTGTAGTTTGTTATATGAAAGAGTCTGGCCAAAACGGTAAAGGGTGAAAGCAAAACAAAGGAGGAAGCCTGGAGCCAAAGATGACGCAGAGGGGAAGGGTGCGAAAAATCCATCCATTTGGGAAAGAAGGCAAAGTTCCCCAAATTACGCCTTCCAAGAGCAACTTAAGACACAAAGTCCACTGATGTCAATTTGATTGGCGAGTCTAGAGAGGAGTGGAAAAAGCAGAGAGCTTCTTCTCGCTGAAGAAACAAACATCTGCCGACTCTGCCACGGACTCACCACTGTGTGACCTTGGGCAAGTCACTTCACCTCTCTGTGCCTCAGTTTCCTCATCTGCAAAATGAGGGCAATACACCATCTACCTACCTCACAGGGGTGGTATGAGGATTAAAAAGATAAGCTCCAGATTTTTATCCTGGGTTGCTATGAGGGCTTAAGGTCAGAGCCCTTGAGTTGCTGAGATGCAAGGAATTCTATAAACAACACATTCACAGAATAGCTAGAAAATTGATTAGCCCAATGCTCCTGACATGCCAATTCTTGTCAATGAAACAATCCAACTAACTCATTGTTAAAAGCTAACAGTGCCATCTCTTTTAAAACACTTTTCAAAATAAGTTAGAAACATTTGATTTACAATTTGATTTTGAATTCCACATTTGGATTTATGAACACAAAGTGAAAAGAGAGAAAGGGAAAAAAATGGAGAAAAACAAAAAATATTTCTACCAGTGAAAGGATGATTATTCTCTGTGTTAGCACTCACTGACTCTTCTAGGCAGTTACTAGTAATATAGTAATACTTCTAATATTATAAATGATACCCTATTTATTTTGTAAAACACAGTTATTCCTTCTCTTTAGGCAATCTGAAAAAATGGCCCAAGATTTCAAATATTGAAATAATAACTAATAAAATGTCACAAAGTTACTTGCTTTACTAAATTTTGCTGTTATCCTTGGCTGTACGTACATATATAAATGTTTTTGTTAAAATATGCTTAGTTGCTAGTTGAGAGGCAAAAATTTCCTTCACAACTAGAAATTTCCCCTCGTGTCTGCTTAGAAGAGTAGCCCCTAGCCCTCTGTGGAGGTGTCTTGTCCATTCAACTGAAAACTGGTGTCAAGAAAATCCAATGCTGAGGACAGGCCCATGGTGGCCTGGAAAATGTTTCCTGTCTATGTATCAAGATTTTCTTATTAGAACAGTGAATCATCCATCATTCAAATCTTTTGTCAGCCTTAGCACTTTTGGTGAAAAGTATCCAGGTTTGATTATTTCATGCAAATTGTATCCCTTTTATTCTTGGAATATGTATATGGAAAACAAAAATAGCATCTTGAGTTTTCATCCCACTGGTTCACCTCAAGGTTCAGAGGCCAGAAAAAAAAAAGACTTCCTGGATCTCCGAACTCATGCAAAAAGAAGGCCTATTTAGCAAGCGCCCCTGCACAGCCAACAAGTATTTGAATCCTCAGCCCACAGCGTTATTTAAAGTGAGCACCTCTGGCATTCTGAGCAATGTTCTGATCACTATGGACGGATGTAAAAGAAATTACAAGTCATTTTTGCCCTTCATCTGTTTTCCAGACAAATGGGTTCTATGGAATGAGATGCTGGACCCCGCTTCCCAAAATGGTACTTCTCATTTTTATTTCTTGTTCCTAGTGTGTACATTTTTAAATTACTGACTCCCAGCAACACTTTACATGCAATCTTCTGCAGACATGTGGGTTTCCAGACATAGAAGGGTAAGTCAATTCTAAGTGTCTATGACTTATTTGATTCACTTAATAATTCTATTCACAGCCAAAAATGCCCCAGTGAGGAAAGCTTCAATATGCAAAGCCACATTATCTTTCTTAACTTTTTACAACACATAATCCTCTCCAACTGGATCATAAATCAACTAATTAAAAATTAACTAATTATACTAACCCACTGTCTTATTTTCAAATGAATTAAAACTAGAAGACAAATTGATGTAAATTCCAAAAGTCAGTTGATCACTATATACTACAGCAGAATGGCCCAGGATTGGTCGCAGGGAGCACCTAAAACTTCACAACTCAAAACTTTATAAGCTTTGCTTTAGAATTTTAAAATGAGACAATTTCAAGATGTTTATGAAATAGCTATAAATATTGGTAAGAATGAGCTTTCAACTTACAGGTGTATTTCCAATTTAATTGACAGTACTGAACACCTAGGTCAAATTTCTGTTCCCATTTCCCCAAATAGTGTAATAATATTATTTGACAATTTTAAGACGAGGAGGCTCCACTAAAAAAGTTAATGCATCTTTACATCAGAAGCTACTCATCTAGAGATAAAGAAATCTCTCCCGCCACCCACACTACACACACATACACACACACGCACACACACACACTCATCCTAAAAGTCCAATGGAACACTGAGAAGAAATCACTTCCTTGGAAAATTTTATTTAAAAAAAAAAGAAGCCTGGCCTCCCTTGAGAATCCTTCCCCTCCTTGGAATGTCAATGTTTGTGTAGATGAAACCGTCTCATGCACTGTGGCTCCAGAGTTTCTGTTACTAGTTTATGCACTTGGGAAAAAGCTTAAAATGGAAGATGTCGCACATTTTGCTTTCCCATTTATTGTTTGGCCAGCTATGCCAATGTGGTGCTATTGTTTCTTTAAGAAAGTACTTGACTAAAAAAAAGAAAAAAAGAAAAAAAAAGAAAGCATAGACATATTTTTTTAAAGTGAAAACAACAATTCTATCAATAGATGGCTTAATAAAATAGCATTAGGTCTAGACACCACCACCTTTCAACATTTTATCACTCACAACTAGTGTACTGTTCACCAAATTGTGAGTTTGGGGGTGCAGGGGCAGAAGATGAAAAGTTTTTGTATGTTAGGAGGCTCCATTATTTTGTTGGCTCTCAAACTCAGCAAAATTAGCAATATATTATCCTATCTGAACACTTTGATCAAGAACATGACATATAAATGGAAAAAAAAAGACCTTATAGGCAAACGGCAGAACTAAAAAGATGATTGTTACTTATTGATTTTTTGTGCTCTCTGCTCTAAAACACATATTCAGCAAGTGGAGAAAATAAAAACAGAGAAAAAATGCATAGATTCACCTGCTAAAAATAGCTTCTGCCACATCCCCGTTGAGTAATTCTTTGGCATTTACTGATATATAGAAGATATTCTCCCTTCATCTAAACATCTCAAAGAGCAGCAGCTCTCATAAAAAGCAATCACTGATCTCATTGGGAAGTGTTGGAAGGTATTTCCTTATGAGATGGGGGTTATCTACTGAGAAGGAAAGAGAAGAATTTATGAGAAATCGTTGAAAGAGATGGCTAACAATCTGTGAAGATTTTTTTTGTTTTTGTCTTTGTTTTTTTTTTGTTTTTTACTTTATACAGTCTTTATGAATATCGTAATGTTCAAAAATGACTTGGTTCTTTCTTCTTTTTTTTATATTGGAATGAGGGATGATAAGTTAAACCCACATAGACTCTTTAAAACTATAGGCTAGATAGAAATGTATGTTTGACTTGTTGAAGCTATAATCAGACTATTTAAAATGTTTTTGCTATTTTTAATCTTAAAAGATTGTACTAATTTATTAGAGACAGATCCTGTTTGACTCTTTTCATAAGAAAGAGCATTCCCACTCAAATCACCTGGGCTTTCCCATCAACGTTTTCAAAAGATAAATCTGATCGATGCATCATTATGGCATCATTTATTTTAAAATAGAAGACTCGTGATTCTTTATACCCCTCTCCTGCAATAATCATAAAGTCCAGAATCTGAGGGGGCAAAAACAAGAGGAAAATTTTGTTGAATCTTCATTTTTGGTTTGTTTGTTTTCAATGCTAGAGTTTAATCCTATAGTACATATTTGCTTATCGCTATTTTAATATTCTGAGACTTTCCTGTTAGGTATTAGAACCTGATACACAGATATCTTTTTTGTGTGATTTCTATTTAAAAAAAAAAAAAAAAGGAGATGAGAAGACTGAAGCTTTAAGTGCGTATGGTACAGGATAAAGATATCAATTTAAATAACCAAGTTCTATCTGGAATGATATATTTTTTAGGAAACCTTACATAGATGATACAGAGGCCCAGGGAATTTTTGAAACTGTCTTTATTCCTCTCAGTCCTTATTCATTCATTATCTGCCTCAGAATCTTATAGATGGCTGATCAAGCTGAAACCCTAGAATTAAAGGGACCTTTTTAAAAACAATTCACATGTTCTGTCTTAATTTATGATTACACATTATTGATCTTAAACATGGTCCCTTTTTCTTCCCATTCTTCAGATGTCATTAAAAAGATCTTTTAAGAAAAATTTAAAAAACATTTTTTTTAATTTAATAAAAGACAACACAAAAGTCCAAATGTTACAGCTCAATTGAAATATGAGCTAAGATGGAGACAATTTCTCCTACTTAACCCCTGCTGAATCACCTGTCACCTTCAAAATGACCTTTCAAAATCCTTAGAATCTGCCGGTTTTTTAATTGCCCAGGCCTACTGTATCTTAAAAGTAAACATTACTCATTTTCTTTTGCC